AGCTTCTGTCCAGTTATCTGTCCCTGCTTGTTTTGTGCATTTTTGTCGGACAGCCTGTACATCCTGTAGTGTCAAATCATGGAAGAAAAATATGTGATCGTGAATTTACAACGCTTACTTTTTTGCTTCTTTTTCTGTGCCGTTCTGCTTCAACTTGTATACCTGATGGTTACCAAAAGGAAATTAGTGACGTATACCCATCCTTCTACACAAAAATTACGAATGAAATATTTTGTCGAAGAAACCATATACATTCAAATTGCTCTTGAATTAAAAAAAACAAACCAAAAACCCAAACACAAGAGATGTATAATTTGGGAAGGCTGAAAAAGCCCTCATGCAGGCCTGCCTGCACTGCAGTTATCTACAGGTATAAGATTCAGACTTGAAATACAGTCATCTGGTGCTCTATGCAATTGTCACTTTTGGTTGCTGCATAGCTTCAGTAGCATGTGCTGTGGAAAATTCTACACATTCATTCAGCAGCACTGCAATATACTGATGTACTGATGTCATTCTCTTTTCACCCATTAACAAGTGATTGGACAAACTGCAACTGAATAGAAATGTGATTTCTATCTGCATACTTGGTCCTCTGGACCACGTGCCTTCCCATTGCTAATAAAGATAATGCCACCTATTTGAAGGCATTGGCAGGCATATTTAAAACCCAAGATGAATTGAGCACACTTACTGCATTAGAAGCAGTTGCTAAATTGTAAGTAACTAAGTCTTGTTGTATAACTGCATTGCACTCAGGGGAACAATTTAGGTTTTGAATTGTATATGTTGATAAGTGAAAACTATGTAGACATTGATTATTTTTTCCCCTTGACCTAATCACTGTTTGCCTATGGCAATATCTGATACGTTATGTGTTCACCAAGAATTGGCTTGGGACCACAATGAGGCTCTTTTTTTAGCTTCATTAGTAATCACAGTTACATTAGGAATAGAAGGCAAAGGAGTAATGTACTGTACTACACCGGTTTTTCTATTTATTGTAAAGGTGGAAGTGAATTCTGTAGGTGGGAGCCTGAATTCGTATAGACAGAGCAGGAGACCAGATTTGACTCTTTGTGCATTTTCAGCAAGAATTCAATTAAAAAAAAAAAAGGAAGCCAAATGCCTACTTAGATTATTTTTTATGTGTTGTGAAAAAATCCTTTCTTTGTTTTTCCTTATGTATTTATAGTCTAATGATAGAACTTTTCTTAGTAATACTAGAGAATATGAAAATGATGCTGAGTAAAATAAAATTTAGTAATGTGTTTTTCATTGTTTGAATTGAATAAGCTGCCAAAAATAAACAACATAAATAGTGAGAAGAATGTTTCCTCTTCTCCCCCACCCTGGGAATCTAATGTGTATCACTCTTTAGACAAAAATTAAGAATTCCAACAAAGTACCTTAAGAAATACCTTTAACTTTTGACAAGCTGTTGATTCCTTCAAATGTTACTTTTGTTTGCATGCTAAAATACTTTTGTAGTGTAAGGGATTATGCAACAAAGTGTAAAAGATTGAACTTCTAACTTCTATGTAGAGGTCATGTAACTAGACACATGGACGCTCTGCTTGTTCACTAAAGTATTAGCAGTTAAATTCCCACATGAATACTAGCATATTTGCATGCATAAGAGACCAAACTGTGGCCTGCCTAAATATAGACTTCCAGTTTGGTATTTCTGAGAACTAATTCTAGCACAAAACACTTTCTCCTCCATTGACTGGTCTGCTGTGTGCATTTTCTCCAGCTATGCAGTTGACAGCCGAGCAGTTTTTGTTTAAGTTTAGAGCATTCATTGTGCATTATCTTTTAATATAAGTGCTTATATTGTGCTTTTTTTTTTTTTCAAAATATACGTGATGGAGTATTGCCTTTTTTGCTCCTCAACAGCAGTGAGGTATATGAAAGTGGACTTAAATGCTGCGCGCGGAAGTGTGTGCTGTTGCAGTGAGAGTAGTTCTCAACTTGTAAGATCTGTTAAGTGGAAATGAGTGTGTAAAGAGGTGTTCAACCTTGGAAGTATGATGAGACAATATTCCTTTGAAAAGATAGTTATCAAGAAATAGGGTGATGCTTTTGATGTTTGTATCCACATGAGGGAGACAGTGTGACAGGCTCATTTGCCTTAATTGGTGGATAAACGTGGCCAACCTGAAGCACAGTGCTGGAGAAATCACTGAATGCACTAGCTGTCTGTAACTTTGCTATTGACTGATATGCCTACACAGGTTTTATTTTTCCCTCCTTACGTGTAACTGAGAGATTTCTGAACTGTAAACAAAGCTACTCAACACATTTCGGAGCTTTTTCTTTAAAACAGACAAAACCTTAATGTGGTTGTGGCTTTCTCTCTCTAATCTTTGGACTATTCATAGAGTGGTTTGGGTTGGAAGGGACCTCAAAGATCAGCTAGTTCCAACCCCCCTGCCATGGGCAGGGACACCCTCCACTAGACCAGGTTGCCCAAAGCCCCATCCAACCTGGCCTTGAACACTTCCAGGGAGGGGGCCTCCACAACCTCTCTGGGCAACCTGTTCCAGTGCCTCACCACCCTCACAGTAAAGAATTTCTTCCTAACATCTAATTTAAATCTGTCCTCTTTCAGCTTAAAGCCATTACCCCTTGTCCTATCACTACGTGCCCTCGTAAACAGTCCCTTCTGCCCTAATATGTAAAATAATATCTTAGTCTGTAGAAAACACCAACTCTTAACTCCAGTGTTTTGTTGCTCAGCCTTTATGGGAATGGTATTGAAGGTGGCCAACAGAGTCGATTAGCTATAAATGAAAGTCTCTTCGAACAGCTGACTTCAGTTTGGTAGATGTTTCTTTATTAGTTTGAAAATAATCATTCTTTGTAGCTTATTTAGGGTCATACACTGCTAGGAAGTTCTGTAGAGATGAGAGGATTTCCTCAAAAAAACAACCACTTTTGTTCAGGGCAACTCCTAGAGGATCTGGAATCTTGCCTGAAGATGCCTAACACTACCCGTAGGTAGCATTAATTAGCAAAATGTTTGGAGCATACAACATTTTCCTGTGTTGTGTTTGACAGTGTTGTGAAGAATCAGTTAGCAGGCAGACTTACTGTTGCTTTAGAAATTTATATGGACCAGTTGTAATTAAGTAATTTACAGCGGCATCCCATATTTAATTACTTACTGCTATTACTGTCCCCTTTTCAATCTTTTAGGGGCTTAATTACAATTAGCCAATATGTTCATAAAGATCACTTTCATGGTTTAGCTAAAACCATGGCCAATAAACTATTTCCTGATTTTTATTTACTATAGTAGTGTTGAAATATTATATTTTGTTTTGAAGACAAGCTCACATTGTTTATGAAGTGGCTGACTGGGTTGGTAGGTGGAGGGAAACAAAACAATCTCTAAATTGTTTCTGATAACTAAGATGAACAATCTGTTTTTGTAAATTTATAAATTTTTGTTTCAACTTCTCAAGGTGAAGGAACATAAATATTTAAGCAACTTTATTCTTTCAGAGTTGACTTGGGATCTCTTGCTTTGCTTAAGCATGAAACAGATAAACTCCATTTTGTCCTGATCTTTTACACAAGTACTTATGCTGCTCCCAAATAAAACTGAAGTTTAAATTGTTTGGATACAACAGAAAATGCTGTAACTTTTTTTGCTTGTTCAAAGCAATTGGAAGACTACTGTGGGACAACTCTTTAAAATGCTTTTGTCAGGTATTTACCGTTTTTTTGGGAGTGTTCCAAAATAATACCAAGCACATCTATATGTAGGATAGAGAAGGAATAAGCTGTAGTTTATCCCAAATACACCATCTGGAGGTACTAATTTCTTGAGGTTATTATGGTCTCAATCCCTAATTTTTAAAAGATTTATTTACTTTGCATTTTCACATTTATTTCATATAATTCTATTAAGTCTATATCTCAAGAATTTAATGTTTGTGCTTAGAATAGATAATTAGTCACTGTCTCTTCCTTCCCCTTAACCAAGAGTTAAAAATAAACCTATAAAACAATGGCAGTATGAAACAACTCTCTGGCAGTAATCAAGCTGGAAGCAAGCTGGTACTTAACCAGAGGAATTCTGCTTTGGTGCGCACATGCCATAGAAGTAGCTGTTGGAAAATTTAAAAATGAAAAATTGCACATGTGGTCTTTTCAGGAGAAATCTTCCCTATGAGTAATAAAAGCACCTTCCTTTGACAGACCAGGGACTCTGGAAACTTTGGTCTTGCATTAGGGGATAATTCCACCTTCTTTCAAATACAATTTCAAAGCTAAATTTTCTCAAATTCTGCTTTGTCCCCCCGCTTTATCCTTTTCCTCTTTCCCTCCTCCAGTCTTTCTCTAATATTCATTCCTGGCCCAAACTTGTATACAGCATTATTATAGCCTCATGTTATAAAACTGAAAATTTTAAAATGAAAATAATGATTTGTAATAAAAAGCCTGACAGACTAATTACAGTATTGCGTTAATTATTATCTTATTTCAGCTCTGTTCCTCTCACAGCTAATTCAGATCTGGGTTTTGGTGTTTTTTAATCCACATTGACACTGTAATTTTGAGAGAGAGAATATACTGGGGAACAATATATATAAAATAAAGAAATAAAAATTGTCAGATAAACAGTTATTTCTAAAATGTCTCCCTGAACATATTAGTAATAGAATGCCAGTAATTCTGTTTAAATGTGATGCTTTGTGGATCTTCTGGTGAATGCAACACCTATATACTATATAATACATCTCTCAAAATCTAGCATTTCTGGATATCTTTATGGCAGGTAGTAAATAGCAATCATTAATTCAGAACTTTGTACATTGTGCAGCTAAGTTGGTACATCATTGATGCATTTTACCTTCTAAGTTTTTGGTTTTTTCTCCCAAAATGTGTGTAATTCTATACCTTAATCATTATAAGATTGATGCCAGTGCTACAGTATAGCTTCAGGACTGCAATTTGAAGCTACTTTAGAAAAGTACAGTTCTTTAGACATGGTGACGCTGACATTGAATGGAAGTCCTATTAGTGGTGAATTACATGTAAATATCGATAAGGGAAAAGTTCATAGCAAGAGTTTGGGAAATTGAGCATGATAATTTGCTGAAATGATGTCTGTTGTGAAGATAGGCAGATACAATAGTTTTCAGTTTTTATTTGAACTTTTAAATGGTGCAGAAGGTGCCTGGGTTAGTTTTTAAGCAAGAAAGTATTTGGAAGTTTTGGCAAATATCATTGTAATGGATGTGTGGTAATGAAGGAAGTTAAGGAAAAAGATGAATTGGACTGACTGACTGTTGAGTCATTTAGGCTAGGCTAGTTGTAAGGTTTGGTTGTTAGACGTCTGAAATTAAGTTGCTGTAGTTCCTGCACTTGGTTGGCTGTCTTCACATCTCAACAAAATTCTGGGAATTTAGTTTCTGACAGTTTGCTTTGTTTTCCTTTTTCAGGATGCGTCGTCTGCAGACATTCGGAAAGCATATCGAAAGCTTTCACTAATTTTACACCCAGACAAGAATAAAGATGAAAACGCAGAAACACAGTTTAGGCAAGTAAGTGCAATGCATGGCGATTATAAGTTTTAGGGAAAATGGAATCAGAATTTTTTTATGATGATATCATTTTAGTAGGAAAAACTTTGAGATGACTAAGTTGAAGATTGAATTACAATTTTCCTGATGCAGCTAGATTAAAACCAAATACACTTTTTTGGAATTAACTTGCTGAATAACTAATTTAGTACTTGCCTGTATATTAAAAATAATTTGAACATAATACTTAGACCTTTAGGAGCAAAATATGTTTTGCACTTTAAGTCTGTTTATAAATAGTCTTTTCAAAAGCAGATGGAAAATTTCTGATCAGTTCTCAATGTAAGTCGTATGTAGGCATAATTTAATGAAAATAATTCATTTTAGTTTTTGAATTTTCATCTTTTGAACCTTTATAGAGTGAAACCAGGAGACTGTTGTAATTAGCTCTACCCTTAAAAATAAACTTATGATGATGAAATAGAGGCTACTTAATTTCTGTGAGATCTTTAGCGTGAAACAAATGATACCTTTTATTTTTAAGCTGTAACTGAGACAAGACGCAGTTTGACAGATGTGAGGAGGGGACAAAAAAAAGGGGTTGCGTGTTTGTGTATCTGGTGACACTTTGTATATGAATATCGCTGTTTCTTTTGCATATTGAGTTTGC